GACGGGCGGGTTTCTCCTGGGGGGGCTGCCTGCTTGTGGCGGGGAAGAAGATAGCGTAGGAGTGAAACGCATCCTGGTTTCGAAAACCTGCGAGCAAAGAGGGGGCATGCTGGGTTTTCGCAGGTCTAACGTTCGTGGCGGCGTTTTGGGGAAGTGGCTGAGGAGCTGCAGGGTGGTCATGGTGTTGGAGATGGGAAAATAACCCTGGGGAGATGCTTCGTGTTGTCTGCAGTGAGGAACCCTGCCGGGTGCGTTTTTCGCCTTCCCTTCGTTGCTTGTGCTGGTACCTCCGGGCTTTGCAGTGTGCACAGCCCACTCATGGAGGTTCCCACTCAACTTTCTGAAAGTTTCGAGTTTAAAGCAGATCTGTAAAAGCGCTGAGGCGATTTGAGCTGGAAGCTTTTGAGGATCAGCTCTTCCTGGCTCAGAAATACCGACAGTTGGCAGCTTTGCTTTTTATCTTGTTCTTTTTGAACACACGATCACTTGGCAGAGTTTTGCTGATGTTGACTGGGGCTTGTAGAAATGAATGTGTGAGATGCTGTGCGAGAGCGGGGAATTAATGGTACGGAGCCCGAGACCTTTCCCCTTGAAAGTCTGTTTGAGCTGGGCATTAGCTGAGAAGCAACGCTACGGAAAGTTGCTGTGAGCAAACAGAAAGGCAGCTGAGCAGCACCGCTCTGTACCCAGCAAATTAGCATTTAACCTTTTCTACTGACAGACCGTGATAAAAAGACCAAAGCGCTGGGTATTTTCAAGGCTCTGGGGTACACAGGGCTTTGAAAACCAGCAAGTTTTCCGTGCAAACTGAAAACAGACCTGGCTTCAAGCTTGGTTTTTCTCCCAAGGAGCCTGCAAGGCACCTGGCTGTTTGGCGTAACCAGTTCTACCACCTGGGGAAGAGTTGCTCAGATCTTCACTGGGCATTGGGAGCTGCTTTCTTGCCCCGTAAATCTGCTCCGTGTCAGTCCATCCACATGAAAACAGCTGGTCCAGAATCTTGCAGTTTTCTTCTTGATTTTGTTTTGGGTTTTGTTATGTGTTTCCCCCCCCCGCCATTTTCCAGTCCTGTTAACTTTTGAGCAAGCGGACGTGTTGTTCGGGGCATATCCCTGACCCCTTTGCCCCTCCGAGAGGCACGCTGCCATCTACCCCATCAGCCAGGGTCCCTCTGTCCGGCCACTTTATGTGACCCAGGACTATCCCTGGAGCAGTCCAGCCGAGAAATCCAAACACTTTCCTATGTGTTTGCATTCCTTTATAGAAAACTCTCATGACTTACTCTCAACCTTGAGATAAGATGCTTTTTCTGAGATGAACATGACCTCTCCCCAGAAGTCGGGGGTACAGCTCTTTGGGACACTGTCCTCTCTGTGTGGGATCTGTGCAGCCACGATGGGTCAAACACGTGGCCGGGAAAACCCCGTGGGACAGAAGTGGCCGTGAGTCGGGCAGCGGATCTGTGCCAAAATGTTGCACCCTCTTGGCCCCGCTAAAGCTTTATCGTTGCACCAGCAGCTCGTTGGAGCTGGCAGAAAGGCAGGTGCTACTTTTAGAAGGTGTTTATATCAAGCACACCCCCCCAAAAAAAAAATCTCAGTGCCAATGAAGTACTGTGAGTCGTTCCCAAGTTCTCTCGGGCTTCAGATACCTTTTTTTTTTCAGCGATGCTCCGGACCATCCTCTCCCTCCCCGCGGGTTGGCTGTGCAGAGTACGAGTGAGCTGGGACGTGTCACAGCGACTGCCCTAATGACACATCTGACCATGGGGGCATCCCGTCATCTGGCTAAGGGGGAAAAAAAACAAACTAGAAATTAATTTTAAAATGCTGGGGGAAGCGAGGAACCTGTTACAGTCAGATAAGTCTTTGTGAGTGAGTGTTTCTGAAGAGCTTGCTCTGATAAAATATATCTTAGAGTGTCAAAATAGGGAACACTTTGTCCTAGATACTATAATAGACTCGAAGCACATTTTTAATGAGACAGTGTTATTCCTTGCCTTCGGGTAGCGAACGTGGGATGCCCCCACTGAACAAATCCTGATGGCTGTGGTTTTCCACGGGTCAGCATTTGGGAGGTGGCATTTTGGGAATGCCTTGGTGGCTGCAGGGGATGCTGGGTTCGCTCCCGAGGAGCTGGGGCTGTGAGG